TGACACCAATGACGGGGCACCATTCCTCCACTGACACCAATGACGGGGCACTATTCCTCCCACTGACACCAATGACGGGGCACCATTCCTCCCACTGACACCAATGACGGGGCACCATTCCTCCCACTGACACCAATGCTGGGGCACTATTCCTTCCACTGACACCAATAATGGGGCACTATTCCTCCACTGACACCAAGGACGGGGCACTATTCCTCCACTGACACCAATGACGGGGGCCACTATTCCTCCCACTTATACCAATGACGGGGCACTATTCCTCCCACTGACACCAATGACGGGGCACTATTCCTCCCACTGACACCAATGACGGGGCACTATTCCTCCCACTGACACCAATGACGTGGCACTATTCCTCCCACTGACACCAATGACGTGGCACTATTCCTCCCACTGACACCAATGACGGGGCACTATTCCTCCCACTGATACCAATGACGGGGCACTATTCCTCCCACTGACACCAATGACGGGGCACTATTCCTCCCACTGACACCAATGACGGGGCACTATTCCTCCCACTGAAACCAATGACGGGACACTATTCCTCCCACTGACACCAATGACGGGGGCACTATTCCTCCCACTGACACCAATGACGGGACACTATTCCTCCCACTGACACCAATGATGGGGCACTATTCCTCCCACTGACACCAATGACGGGGCACTATTCCTCCCACTGACACCAATGACGGGGCACTATTCCTCCCACTGACACCCAAGGACGGGGCACTATTCCTCCACTGACACCAAGGACGGGGCACTATTCCCCCACTGACACCAATGACGGGGCACTATTCCTCCCACTGACACCGATGACGGGGCACTATTCCTCCCACTGACACCAATGACGGGGCACTATTCCTCCCACTGACACCAATGACGGGGCACCATTCCTCTTACTGACACCAATGACGGGGCACCATTCCTCCCACTGACACCAATGACGGGGCACTATTCCTCCCACTGACACCAATGACGGGGGCACTATTCCTCCCACTGACCACCAATGACGGGGCACTATTCCTCCCACTGACACCAATGACGGGGCACCATTCCTCCCACTGACACCAATGACGGGGCACCATTCCTCCCACTGACACCAATGACGGGGCACTATTCCTCCCACTGACACCAATGACGGGGGCACCATTCCTCCCACTGACACCAATGACGGGGCACCATTCATTCCCCTCCCACTGACACCAATGACGGGGCACTATTCCTCCACTGACACCAATGACGGGGCACTATTCCTCCCACTGACACCAATGACGGGGCACTATTCCTCCCACTGACACCAATGATGGGGCACTATTCCTCCCACTGACACCAATGATGGGGCACTATTCCCTCCACTGACACCAATGATGGGGCACTATTCCTCCCACTGACACCAATGATGGGGCACTATTCTCCTCCCACTGACACCAATGATGGAGCACTATTCCTCCCACTGACACCAATGATGGGGCACTATTCCTCCCACTGACACCAATGATGGGGCACTATTCCTCCCACTGACACCAATGATGGGGCACTATTTCATTCCATAAGACACACTTGGGGGGAAATGTCTGTGCGTCTTATGGAGCGGCAAGCCCGGTATTCCCGCCGCCGTTGTATGTCCGCAGTCTCTGGTCATCTCCTGTACTATGTCTGCAGTCTCCGGTCATCTCCTGTACTGTGTCTGCAGTCTCTGGTCATCTCCTGTACTGTGTCCGCAGTCTCCGGTCATCTCCTGTACTGTGTCCGCAGTCTCCTGTACTGTGGTCATCCTGTGGTCATCTCCTGTACTATGTCCGCAGTGTCTGGTCATCCCCTGTACTATGTCTGCAGTCTCTAGTCATCTCCTGTACTATGTCTGCAGTCTCTGGTCATCTCCTGTACTATGTCCGCAGTCTCTGGTCATCTCCTGTACTGTGTCTCTAGTCATCTCCTGAACTGTGTCTGCAGTCTCCGGTCATCTCCTGTACTATGTCTGTGTCATCTCCTGCAGCAGTCTCTGGTCATCTCCTGTACTATGACTGCAGTCTCTGGTCATCTCCTGTACTGTGTCCGCAGTCTGTACTGGTCATCCTGTGGTCATCTCCTGTACTGTGTCCGCAGTCTCTGACCATCTCCTGTACTGTGTCTGCAGTCTCTGGTCATCTCCTGTACTGTGTCCGCAGTCTCTGGTCATCTCCTGTACTGTGTCCGCAGTCTCTGGTCATCTCCTGTACTGTGTCCGCAGTCTCTGGTCATCTCCTGTACTGTGTGTCCGCAGTCTCTGGTCTGTGTCTGCAGTCATCATCTCCTGTACTGTGTCTGGTCATCTCCTGTACTGTGTCCGCAGTCTCTGGTCATCTCCTGTACTGTGTCCGCAGTCTCTGGTCATCTCCCTGTACTGTGTCTGCAGTCTCTGGTCATCTCCTGTACTGTGTCCGCAGTCTCTGGTCATCTCCTGTACTATGTCCGCAGTCTCTGGTCATCTCCTGTACTATGTCCGCAGTCTCTGGTCATCTCCTGTACTGTGTCCGCAGTCTCTGGTCATCTCCTGTACTCTGGTGTCTCGCAGTCCGCTCTGGTCATCTCCTGTACTATGTCCGCAGTCTCTGGTCATCTCCTGTACTGTGTCCGCAGTCTCTGGTCATCTCCTGTACTGTGTCCGCAGTCTCTGGTCATCTCCTGTACTGTGTCCGCAGTCTCTGGTCATCTCCTGTACTATGTCTGCAGTCTCTTGGTCATCTCCTGTACTGTGTCTGCAGTCTCTGGTCATCTCCTGTTACTGTACTATGTCCGCAGTCTCTGGTCATCTCCTGTACTATGTCCGCAGTCTCTGGTCATCTCCTGTACTGTGTCCGCAGTCTCTGGCATCTCTGTACTGTGTCCGCAGTCTCTGGTCATGGTCATCTCCTGTACTATGTCCGCAGTCTCTGGTCATCTCCTGTACTATGTCCGCAGTCTCCGGTCATCTCCGGTCATCTCTCTGTACTGTGTCCGCAGTCTCTGGTCATCTCCTGTACTATGTCCGCAGTCTCCTATGTCCGGTCATCTCCTGTACTGTGTCCGCAGTCTCTGGTCATCTCCTGTACTATGTCCGCAGTCTCTGGTCATCTCCTGTACTATGTCCGCAGTCTCTGGTCATCTCCTGTACTGTGTCCGCATTTGTTCTTTATTTTTTTTTTTAAACCGGCCCTCCAACGCTTTGAGGGACAGTGAACTGGCCCCCTGTTTAAAAAGTTTGAGGACCCCTGGATTAGATTGCATTGTATGTTAGTGTCTTTATTTGCTCAGTCAAGCTCATTGCCAATCTGTATGCAATTGCACTGTGTGTGGGCAGATTGCGTGCAGATTGTAAAGGTAACAGATCGGCTAGATGGAGATCTGCGTTTGTGTGTGGTGTCCCAACAGTCCATTCTGTGGATAAACTGTTGGGTGGTGGCCATCTACCATTTGTGGTGTGTCTGGTGTGGGGGGGGGTGTGTGTGGACAGTGGAAGAGTGATTAACACCGGGGGTTCAAGCTGTAGGTAGCTGGAGGGATCCTAGAAGGGTGTGTGATTGCTAAGCTGCTCCTCAACTCTAATCAGTGCATCAGATTGTATGTAAGATTTTTATCTACCAGTGTGTGGTCAGCCATCTGGATTGGAGTGGAGTCTCCCTCCGGTGGTGGCCAAGAGGTAGTGCGGGCTGTGAAAGTATATCCCGGCTGGTCTTATATACGGTTTTATATATTCAAAGTTAAGTCCCCTTTATTCCCTCTTACCCCAAGTCACGGCCGCACGTGTGCGCCCTCGGTTAGCTAGTTGCTGTGGGCGTGGCATGTGGGTGAATTCGTGACACCCCCCCCATACCCTGCACTGTCCTATGTGCTCTGCCTTGCTGATCTCCTGTACACTACTTATCTCACATTGAGCCCCCCCCCCCCCCCCCCCACCCCCCCCCTCCAAGATTACCTGAACTAAAGTGGTCTTTCTCAGCTGAAAGTCATAGATATCATGCAACTTAACAGTCCAATAACTCTGGAGGAGATAGCAGCCACTAGAACAGACCTACAGGACCTCTCCATAAATCTCCTGCCACTGATAGACTTCCATATCTTTGTTATGGGAGCGCCTGAAGGTGAGGAGGGAAGGCGACAATCTGATGGATTGGGGTAGTGAGTTCCAGAGGATCTTGGAGAATCTAGGAGGGAGGGCATAGTGGTACAGGAGGAGATAGCTGTGGGGGATGGGGTGGTAGGAAGAGTGGAGGAGGTCGGCAAGTTAGCAGGGGGTGGGGTAGGCTTCCCTGAAGAGATGGGTTTTCAGGGTATGCCTAAAGGAGAGGAGAGTAAGTGATCATCTGATGGGTTAGGGCAGGGAGTTCCACAGGATGGGTGACACCCTGGAGAAGTCCTGGAGGCGGGCATGGGAGGAGGAGACCAGGGAACTAGAGAGAAGGAGGTCTTGTGAGGAGCGGAGTGTGTGTGTTGGGTGGTACTTGGATATTAGGTCGGTGATGTAGTTCGGGGGGCAGTATGGTGGACGGCTTTGTACGTCAGTGTTAGGATTTTGAATTTGATCCGTTGGGCAATCGGAAGCCAGTGGAGGGATTGGCAGAGGGGGGTGGAGGACACTGAATGGAGGCCAGTGGAGGGATTGGCAGAGAGGGGTGGAGGACACTGAGTGGAGACCAGTGGAGGGATTGGCAGAGGGGGGTGGAGGACACTGAATGGAGGCCAGTGGAGGGATTGGCAGAGAGGGGGTGGAGGACACTGAGTGGAGGCCAGTGGAGGGATTGGCAGAGGGGGGTGGAGGACACTGAATGGAGGCCAGTGGAGGGATTGGCGGAGGGGGGTGGAGGACACTGAGTGGAGGCCAGTGGAGGGATTGGCAGAGGGGGGTGGAGGACACTGAGTGGAGGCCACTGGAGGGATTGGCGGAGGGGGGTGGAGGACACTGAGTGGAGGCCAGTGGAGGGATTGGCGGAGGGGGGTGGAGGACACTGAATGGAGGCCAGTGGAGGGATTGGCAGAGAGGGGTGGAGGACACTGAGTGGAGGCCAGTGGAGGGATTGGCAGAGGGGGGTGGAGGACACTGAATGGAGGCCAGTGGAGGGATTGGCGGAGGGGGGGTGGAGGACACTGAGTGGAGGCCAGTGGAGGGATTGGCGGAGGGGGGTGGCGGACACTGAGTGGAGGCCAGTGGAAGGATTGGCAGAGGGGGGTGGAGGACACTGAATGGAGGCCAGTGGAGGGATTGGCAGAGGGGGGTGGAGGACACTGAATGGAGGCCAGTGGAGGGATTGGCAGAGGGGGGTGGAGGACACTGAGTGGAGGCCAGTGGAGGGATTGGCAGAGAGGGGTGGCGGAGACGGAGCGGTTGGTGAGGTGGATGAGTCTGGCAGCCGTATTCAGGATGGACTGAAGCGGGGATAGCCTGTGGTGAGGCAGGCCAGTGAGGAGGGAGTTGCAGTAGTCGAGTCGTGATATGATGAGGGAGTGGATGAGCTGTTTAGTGGTTTCTGGGGTTAGGAACGTGCGGATTTTGGCGATGTTGCGGAGGTGGAGTCTGCATGTTGCGGAGGCGGAGTCTGCATGTTGCGGAGGCGGAGTCTGCATGTTGCGGAGGCGGAGTCTGAATGTTGCGGAGGTGGAGTCTGCACGAGTTTGTTAAAGATTGGACTTGGGGCTGGAAGGATAGGTTGGAGTCCAAAATGACACCAAGTACTCAGGCCTGCGGGGCGGGTTTGATGGTGGCGTTTGTTGGACATGATGGAGAAGTCAATGGGGGGTGGGGTCCGGGCTGGGGGGAAGACTAGGAGCTCGGTTTTTGGAGAGGTTCAGTTTAATGAAGTGGAGTGACATCCAGTCTGATATGTCGCTCAGTAGGTGTGTGATTCGGGCGGAGACCGAGGGGGTGAGGTGGGGGGTTGAGAGATAGATTTGTGTGTCGTCGGCATAGAGGTTCTATGAATTCCTGACCTCCTCCACTCTTCCTACCACCCCATCCCCCACAGCTATCTCCTCCTGTGCCACCATCCCCTCCCTCCTAGATTGTAAGCTCCAAAGAGCAGGGCCCTCGATCCCCTCATGTTTTGCATTGTATTGGTATTGTTCTGTCACATGTTCTGTCCCCCTTTGTAATGTACAGCGCTGAGTGAACTATTGGTGCTTTATAAATACTGTATAATAATAGCCAGTCTGCCCTCTGCTGTGTGCCCGGACTTAACCATTGTTATACCTATCTAGCGCCCTCCAAATCACTCAATAAAAGCCTTGTGTGCCCCACTGCTCTCCACATGTGTTCTGTCCCACCTACACCTCCGTATCAGTCCTCATCCCAGGAGTCCCTCTGTGTCCTCATCTCTGGGGTCCCTCTCTGTCCTAACCTCAGGAGTCCCTCTCTGTCCTGAACTCAGGAGTCCCTCTCTGTACTCATCTCAGGGGTCCTTCTCTGTCCTCAACTCTGGGGTCCCTCTCTGTCCTTATCTCAAGGGACCTTTCAAGGGACCCTATCTGTCCTCATCCCAGGGGTCTCTCTCTATCCTCATCCCAGGAGTCCCTCTCTATCCTCATCTCAGGAGTCCCTCTTTGTCCTCATCTCAGAGGTCCCTCTCTATCATTCATCTCAGGAGTCCCTCTCTGCCCTCATCTAGGAGTCCGTCTCTGTCCTCATCTCAGGGGTCACTCTATGTCCTGATCTCAGGAGTCCCTCTCTGTCCTTATCTCAGGATCCCTCTCTGTCCTCATCTCAGGGTTCCTCTCTGTCCTCATCTTAGGGTTACTCTCTGTCATCATCTCAAGGGGCCCCCTCTGTTCTCATCCCAGAAGTCCCTCTCTGTCTTCATCCCAGGGGTCCCTCTTTGTCCTGATCTCTGGGGTACCTCTCTGTCCTGATCTCAGGAGTCCATCTCTGTCCCCATCTAAGGAGTTCCTCTCTGTCATCATCTCAGGGGTCCCACTCTGTCCTCATGTCAGGGGTCCCTCTCTGTCCTCTTCCCGCTGGTCCCTCTCTGTCTTCATCTAAGGAGTCCCTCTCTGTCCTCATCTAAGGAGTCCCTCTCTGTCGTCATCCCACAGGTCCCTCTCTGTCTTCATTTTAGGAGTCCCTCTCTGTCCTCCTCTCAGGGATCCCTCTCTGTCCTCCTCTCAGGGGTCCCTCTCTGTTCTCTTCTCAGGGAGGCAATATGTAGGTGGTCAGTCCCAGAGAGGCCAAGGCCTAAAGCTGTGTAAGGAAACCCAAAATGGCTGTCCTGTACAGGAGTCCATGTTGTCCTGCATAAGGTGGACTTAGATTGCCCCATGGGACTCTAAACTGCCTGCTGCCCGATCGCTTCCACAGCCCCCGGTACTAAAATGTTGCGTTTCCTGGACCCCTGCGGTAATATCGTGCGACATGAAGAATTGGGACTACCAACATTTTATTCTCTGGGGTCTCTGCTTTCAGAAAATTTATCATGTTGGGGGGTTTGTGTCATCGTCAGGCCTGAAAGCATTTTTTAAACATTTATTGGGGGGGTTTTCTTTCTGCTGTTTAGTTTTTCATTTTTCTTTTTTTTATTTGCTGTTTTATACTTTTCGGATAGGTGGACCAGCGCCATCTAGTGTCTTCTCTCCATACTGCAATCTGGCTGTTTTAGTGATCCTCTGTATGGGACAGATCCAGGAAGTCCCGGCCTGAGATTGAGCCAAATTGTTACTTCCTGTCTATCCAAACGTGTCCTCTTGTCGGCCATTTTAGAGCTCCTTCTAACGGGACCAACAGATTCCCAGAGTTTAGGAGCGAGAGAAAGGGACTCCGAGCTCCGGACAGAGAGAACCGGATACACCTGACAGCACTTATTGTTTATTGCTTTTGTGTGTTTGTTTTTGTTATCTAGTATTTGTTGTTGTATTGTCTTATTAATTTGCTGCTATTGTTATGGGGAATTCCTTAGGTGAGGAGGAAATACCCCCCATGTGCCGAAAAGCATACATTCCTCATATTGAAGCCCCCCCCAAAACTCCGCACCTTTGCCCTTACTAACATCGAGGAAGTCTCCAAGATCCTCTCTGATGCCCACCTCACCACCTGCCCCTCGACCCTGTCCCCTCACAACTCCTACGACCTCCCTCCCCCTCCATCCTACGCTCCCTCACCCACATCTTCAATGTCTCCCTCTCCTCTGGCACTTTCCCCTCCCCTCTGAAACATGCACACATCACCCCCACACTTAAAAAGCCCTCCCTGGACCCCAATGACCCGAACAACCTCAGACCCATCTCCCTGCTCCCATTTACATCTAAACTCCTCGAGCGCCTAGTCTACACCCACCTAAGCTCTCACCTCAACGACAACAACCTCCTTGATCCCCTACAGTCCGGCTTCCGTCCCCTACACTCCACCAAAACCGCCTTACTCAAACTCTCCAACGACCTGCTAACCACCAAAGCTAATGGTCACTATTCAGTGCTCCTACTCCTTGACCTCTCTGCGGCCTTCGACACAGTCGACCACCCCCCTCCTCCTCAAAAAACTACACTCCCTCGGCCTCAGAGATTCTGCTGTCTCCTGGCTCTCATCCTACCTGTCACAACGCTCCTTCAGTGTTACCTATAATGCTACCACCTCCCCCTCACTCCCCCTCTCTGTTGGGGTCCCTCAAGGCTCTGTCGTCGGGCCCCTTTTCTTCTCCATCTACACCTCCTCCCCTGGCCAACTCATACACTCTCACGGCTTCAACTACCACCTATATGCCGACGACACACAAATCTATCTCTCAACCCCCCACCTCACCCCCTCGGTCTCCGCCCCGAATCACACACCTACTGAGCGACATATCAGACTGGATGTCGCTCCACTTCCTTAAACTGAACCTCTCCAAAACCGAGTTTCTTGTCTTCCCCCCCAGCCCGGACCCCACCCCCCTATTGACTTCTCCATCATGTCCAACAACGCCACCATCAAACCTGCTCCGCAGGCCAGAGTACTTGGTGTCATTCTGGACTCCAACCTATCCTTCCGGCCCCAAGTCCAATCTTTAACAAACTCATGCAGACTCCACCTCCGCAACATCACCAAAATCCGCACGTTACTAACCCCAGAAACCACTAAACAGCTCATCTACTCCCTCATCATATCACAACTGGACTACTGCAACTCCCTCCTCACTGGCCTGCCTCACCGCTGGCTATCCCCGCTTCAGTCCATCCTGAATACGGCTGCCAGACTCATTCACCTTTCCAACAGCTCCGTTTCCGCCACCCCCCTCTGCCAATCCCTCCACTGGCCTCCATTCGGTGTCCTCCACTGGCTCCACCCCCCTCTGCCAATCCCTCCACTGGCTTCCGATTGCGCAACGGATCAAATTCAAAATCCTAACACTGACGTACAAAGCCGTCCACCATACTGCCCCGAACTACATCACTGACCTAATATCCAAGTACCACCCAACACGCACACTCCGCTCCTCACAAGACCTCCTTCTCTCTAGTTTCCTGGTCTCCTCCTCCTATGCCCGCCTTCAGGACTTCTCCAGGGTGTCACCCATCCTGTGGAACTCCCTGCCCCAACCCATCAGATTATCACCTACTCTCCTCTTCTTTAGGTGCACCCTGAAAACCCACCTCTTCAGGGAAACCTACCCCACCCCCTGCTAATTGCCGACCTCCTCCACTCTTCCTACCACTCCATCCCCCACAGCTATCTCCTCCTGTACCACCATCCCCTCCCTCCTAGATTGTAAGCTCTAAAGAGCAGGGCCCTCGAACCCCTCGTGTATGGCATTGTATTGGTATTGTTCTGTCACATGTTCTGTCCCCCTTTGTAATGTACAGAGCTGAGCGAACTATTGGCGCTTTATAAATACTGTATACTAATAATAATAATATAATAATAATGTCCATTGTTAGCTTCTTATGATATGGAATGTGAGGGAAAGTGTAACATCGCCATCTAGTGTCTCTTTTGTATTACAGTTTATAGATCAGTTTCTGTAGTTACATCGCCATCTAGTGTCTCTTTTGTATTACAGTTTTATAGATTAGTTTCTGTAGTTACATATTTTTGTAGCTTAAAGGCCACTGTAGTTTTCCCATCATCCTCTGGGCTTCACCATGAGGTCTTAGAGACATTTCCTGGCAGCCATTTTACACCTCCTCCAGAGGACTACACACGTGTCCAGCTGCAGTCTGTTGTCAGCCTATCGGAAATATCGGCGGTATGTTTACAAACCCCTTTGTAGCTAGACTAGTGTGTCAGGACTGTATACTTTGTAGATTGTATATACTGATTGAATGTTATTTCTTTCCTTTGTAGTTTTACTCTAACTTCTCTGCAATAAAAGTTGAAAAGAGGATCTGACACCTGAATCAATGAGTTGTTAACCTCCCTGGCGGTACGATTATTTCAGATTTTTGGTGCTGAAAGCGGTACCATTATTTTGCATGGAAATTTGGTGTTTTTATATTGTAGGCTGTAATTTTTAGGAATAACTCCCTGAAATCTGTCTAAACAAGAGTCTAGTAACCATCCCGGGTATGTTACAGTTTGAAACGCAAAATCATAAATTATAATTTAATAAATAATCATAAAAAAATAATATAAAATAAATGTAATTCAATAATATATATCAAACCAAAAACACTGAAAAGTGAAATATAGCGCCAAGTTCACACATCGCTGAGCTCAGGTCGCAGAATCGTTTTCAGTGTCTGATGAAGGAATTTCCCCC